GTTTAAAATTAAAAGGACTACTGAAGAATGAAAAGGTCATTATGCATGCTACTGTGTTGAATATTTCCTTTTTCACATTGTTGTCATAATGATCTGGTGCTGTGGTGCAAAAGGAGTTAAAGTTGTTAGTAGACTAAAAGGGGAGATCTATTCTTATGCACTATCTCACTTCTAATGAGATGCAGTCAATATCCTAGTTCACTTATTCATGTACATCATTTTGGGGGGTTGTATTTGATTGTTGTTCATGGTAATTAGCAAGTGGGTGTGTGAACCAATTCTTGAAAAATAATTCATTTGATATATGGCATGAATGAGGAAACAACAACGCGTGTCTTAGTTGTGGCCCATAAGATCTTGGAGGGAGAAGCACAGCAAAAGAGGTAAAGCAAAAAGAAAGGTAAAGCTCTTCCTTTTCGCATGGCAACTTCCTCACCATTGCCTTGACACAGGATAATAACACTTGAGGAAGAGACAAAAACTCTGATTTACACCAACAGTAGCTTTATTTCAGGATCTTAATACTGGGGTGAACAAATGAGAGAAACAGTGAAAGAAAGGGTGAGAGAGGAAGAGGAAGCAGGGTGTGTAACTACGTGAATTGCACAGCATATGTATGAATAAGAGTGAAATAACTTGGACACACCCACAACTGGCATGACATCCCTCACCTAAGGAAATGTAGCCTTTGACAATGAGTGAGGGGAAGAGGTTCCCTTCCCATATTTGGCATTAGGTCTGGGTTGGTCTATTCCTGCATGAGAAAAATTGTTAGATGTTTTTGTTATCAAGTGATCAGCATTCATGTGTGAACCAGCCCAGTCTACAAAAAAAAGGGGGGGGCAAATTATCTTGTGATTAATTGCCTAAGGGAGGAACTATAGCTTACCGGGAAAGCGCATGTGTTATATGCAACAAGTCCCAGGTTCAGCCTGGAAATGCCGGTAGAAAGGCTCAGAGAGCAAATAGGGCTCTCTAGGGATTTCTTTGCCTCAAACCTTAGAGGGCTACTGCCAGTCACAGAAGATGCTGTGTAGAACAGATAGTCTGACCTACCATTACATAGCATTCTGAGAACTGCTTCCAGTGAGTTTCATCCATATAATTAAGGTTCTCTACCAAGCCCATATTCTCTAAAGACTGTTGGTTTTTGAGAGGTCTCTAAAGTTTTCAACTCAAGTATTTTGCTTGTATTCTGTAAATGAGGAATTATTATTTACTCACTGTCTAACTTCAGTGTGTCTTCCTTCAAGATAGCATTTCTGTTTTTCAATTACAGTATTGAAATTTCCAACTGCTGTAAGCAAAATATGTGCTCTACACAATGCAGCCCTTCCTTCATACTTGTACTGAATATAACCTGTGACGAGAAAAGATCTTCCCATGTCTTGCAGTTGGTTGGTACAGTTTTGTGGCTTTGTTATTCAGTATTAAATATATTTTAAATGCAAATCACTCCCTTGCTGCAGTAGTATAGTACAAGAATACCTGTACTGCCTCTTATTAAATATCTACACTTACTCTTAGTGGTAAATTCTGGCAAAGTTTAGCCCTGCAAAAATGCCATACCAGTTTGTGAACCTTTAAAAAAATATTTTAGTTATTCTAGTTGTTCATTTCTGAAATGTGCAAACCTCATTTTGGGTGTTTTATTTTGTGGGGTGTAAGTAGCAATATAACAGCACTGAGTCTAACTTCTGCAATCTTAATTCTTTGCGTCTACAAGGACAAATATGCTTTGTAATTGGTTCACACTTTAAGAAAGCTTTAGGTTTTTGAATTGTTAAACAAGCACTTGATAAGACCAGAAGGGACCCCAGAGTCTAGCAATCATAATTCATCTTTGCACTTTCATGGCATGATGGAATTCAGGTGTTGGGAAAAATCCATTTCCTGATGAAGTAATTCCATTTTATGCTCTTTATTTCCTCTCAGTCATAACTTATTCAGATCTTCTTTTGTGAGCATTTTATTAACCAAGACATCTTTAAGTCAAATCACAATTCTAGAGTTAAAACAAAAACATATTTCTTCATTACCTGAACTTATTAGCCATAATTCTCATATATGCTATGCATGGCAGTACACTTTGAATTTTTGCCTGACTAGAAAGGAGGGATATCAAACAAGTAAATAAAATATAATGTTAGAAAACTGCATTATAGCCTGAATGTTTGTAATTATATGGTTCTGTACATGTGGTCTTTACATAGCATTCAAATAATAAAGTTCACTCTTAATTTAATCTCCAAGTACACCCACTCCTTGTTTAGCATTGAGTTCTGTTCCAGTGACCAGGTTATTAAGCGAAATGGTCGCTAAGTGGCATCATGACTGAGAGAAAGATGCTATGAAGATCAGTGGTTGCTGCCGTCTCATTCAGATAAAGTTCTCTCATACAGCTACGCCAGCATTACTCTCTCTAGGGTGTGTTGTCAGTTGCATGAAATTTGCATTGCAGTTGCATTGGTAGGAAAATGATTTTTTTTATTACCGTCATATTTGCGAATGTTCGCTAACCAAGGTAGTCACTAAACAAGGAGTGAGTGTAAGGACTGTGAGATACACCACATGAACACATGCACTTTTTAGTTTAGTTTAGTTGTCTTTCTTCCTTCTTTCTAAAACAGTGGAACCTCGGTTTACGAACTTAATTCGTTCCGTGACTCTGGCCGCAACCTGAATTGGTCGCAACCCG